GGTACTGAAATAGTGTAATCAGTAACAGCATGTAAGTATTTTTAACGCTGTGGTGGTATTGCCAGACACAATGTACATTTTACATCAGTATGTAAGCAATCTGAGTGCCCTTGAAGAGGTGAACAAGACCTGTAGGGTTACCTGCCTACCAGGGTTAAACCAGAACATAGGTGTTTGTAGAGTCATCCTTAATGAGAAATCACTACTTATTAACATTTAAAGTTTAAATTTGTTCTTGCATCCTGATGTTTTAACATACTATTTCTGTTGATGACTACCTGTCACTTTTTCATTGTAATTCCCAGTTTATACTTTAAGTAGTTATCTCAACTGAGATAGAAATCACTGGTTTTCCATCTGGACATTGCTTTCTCTGAACTACTTCAGTATCCGTTTTAGCTGCCCCTTCTGTCACCTCCTACTATCAGTGTTATGCCAGCTTTCTAGCCAATACAGACTTGGAACTGTTTCTCATTCTAAATGCTGCCTTTTTTTTTTTTTTTTTTTTTTTTTTTTTTTTTTTTACATCAGGTCTAATCAATTTCTCCTGGCCTTGTTCATAGTAAACGCTGTTTACCATTTGCCATTTGAACCCTTAATGTCATCCTATCCATGGTCAGATTAGGGCATCTCAGCAGAGAAACACAATCTTTTATTACGCTACGCACAACAATTTCTTTTGGTAACAGTAAGATGCCTTGCGTGGCTGTTTCCTGGAAACCCTCTTTTCTATGGAAAAATAAAACAAAACAAAGACTTCACGTAATGTTAAAGCATCACTACTTTTAAATAATTCAGTATTTGTAAACTTCTATCAGAACAACTCCTGGACAATTACTAGCATTATTTCATTGGCTGGGTGGGAGACACTTCTTTGCAAATTGTTGCAACTCATTTTCTGAATAAGGAAACTAAGTACAACTGACAAGCTATCCAAAAGGCATATTTGGATCTTCCTTTTAAAAAAAAAAAAAAAAAAAAAAAAAAAAATTGAAACCACTGCTTTCCTTAGAACATCTCCTAGAACTTGTCCTCCACATAACTCCTAAGTAAGTCTGACAAGAACAAATGCAGAAGTTACATAAAACTGATGTCTTTTTAGAGTTCATGCATGTCAGTGTAGAGTTGAATCACAGACACCTGGAAACTTTTGAAGTTGCAGTACCATGAATCAGTTACATATAAATGTTATTTTCTATTGAGGTACATTTTGAGAAAATGCAGGCAGGCAAAAATACCTGAATGCTAATCTGTGCAGTAATTAAAGCACTCTCTTGTAATAAATATATGAAATCCTGTGTTACAGAACTTCCAAGTAATGCCAAACCCAAAATACAAGAGTACTTTTTTTATGATGTTTTGTTGTCTTCTATTTAAAATGTATTTTTAGAAAGAGGCAGGATATTAAAATAACATGAAACTCTGTCATACGGTTAAAAGACTTTATAATTAATTATCTATTTTGCAAAAGAAACTGAATCAACAATTACACTCAACCTTTTCCCCCACACTTTGAGAGGGGCAGTAAGGTAAGCGTAATGAAGTGAGGAAATACTGTAACGCATCAAAGTTACTGTCCCAATGAGATACAGGGTTGCTGAAAACGTGTTACAAACCTATAAACTCCACCTGATTTTGTAGTGAGAATTGTATTCTTTTTTAGAAATTGTTATGGCAAAAATCTCTTCATCTTCTGGTGAAATAGGCCTGGCTTTACACAGACAATAAGCACATTTTAGCTAAGCTTTTTTTAAAAAGTTAAATATAACTGAAGAACTTTCTCTTCATTGCACAGCTTGTCAATTTGCTATTGCTTTCTCTAAAATATAGAGCAACATATTTCACTCTGTTGCTGCACACATACTAAAGCATCAGCCTTTGTGCTTCTACGAAGCAATGTGCATATCTTATCATCTCCCACTCCTCTGCCATCCTCCACGTATGCTGCCCTGCCCATCATCTTCATATCTGGTGTTTCCCAAAATTCCCCACAACACTGTCATACCAGCCCTGCTAAGGGGGCTCCTGTTCAGAAGGCAAGATGGTTTCATGTGCTGCAGTTTCCTCACTGTTCTGTATGCTGGTTATAAAAAGGAAGGAAAAAGGTCAACACACATCACAAGCCAGAAGACATTAGCATCTTCAGAGCATACCCCAAAAACCAGCACAGGATAACACACGAGAAGAGCGTTTGGGGGGAAAAGGCAAGCAACATGATCCTTGTGTGCCTGTCACCCTCCCTCCTAGTATTTTCAGCATTGCCCAGGAAAGAATTCTCAGGCACCATGACTCCTCCCTTCCTTTTTCATCTCCCTATTATTCCCCAGTGAGGGATGGATCTTTGTATATGTGACATTCCCTGCCTGCTCACCAGAATCCTTCATTTCCTCCTACTTTTTCCTCCCTCTCCTGATATGATCACTTTTGGTGTAAACACTGTAAAAACTACCAATGGAATAAGACCTGGACATTACTATTCCAAACAGTCTCTGGCTGTCATAAACCACTTCTTGGTTTTACAGATACTTTCCAAGGTACGTGAAATTGCTGGCTTATTTAAAAGCAGTGGATCCATAACTCAAAAAGTACCTGACCAAGAGGCATGCAAGAGAAAAACCACAATTAATTCATTTAGGAGATCTGTCTGTAGGGCTGTGACTTTACAAATTAATGTGGTTATGGCACATCTAGCACAAGAATTCAGAACTCTCAGTCCATACTAATGCATGTTCATCCACGCCACCTTTCCTTCCCTTACAGGGCAAAAGCAGTTTTTCAGGGACACTTGAATAAACATGGAACTGTTTTTATTTCTTTATTATTTTTTTTTTTCCTAATTCAAATACTTCTAGTTATTTGCACACTTCTCAGTGAAACCTGGCTCTCTGGCAGACCATCTCCTCTCACGTTAGATCTTTAGACAAGGTCTTATGCCCTACACTACTTTTGGTACAGAGCTGTAGGTTGTATTTTCAATGAGCTCCCACTTGTGTGATACAAATATGCTCTCATTCTGCTGATCTGTTACATTTCGCTACTGAACACACAGTCCAGAAATAAACTCACAAAACAAGACTGCTATTGTGGTGATCTGATCTGTTGCTCGCTCAATCCCAGGGACTCCTGATTTTGCCATTTTCTTTTTTCCCTTTCCCTAGAGTAACAGCGCATTTCTCTCAGATACGTTAACATTTCTCTATTAGGACTGTGTACTATTTTGCCACGTTTTGTCTGGCATTTTTATTATTTTCTACTCCTACTGTTATTTATTTAGTATGCTGTTATTCTTTCCCCAGATTCTCATTTAAAATGCCAAATAAAGAAGACTGCCTCCTACTGGATGCTTTGGATTAGCTCTTACAAAAAAAACAAACCAAAACATTACACGTATATCTGTCTGCTCTCTGTATAACCTGGGAACTTAAAAGTTTTAAAGAGCTTACTACAAGACCTCAAAAAGTAAGTTTGTGAAAAGTTTTAAATTCCTAGTGTGATAAATGACCGAGTCCCAAATAGGGTTTCAATCAAAATTAACAATTTATTAAACGAATAAAAGCAAGCAAACAGCGCTGGGTGCGCCGGGAGCCTCTGCTCTACCAAGACGCACACCTAACAGTTCTTGTTTCTGGTTTATATACCCCCCAGCAATAGG